CCCTCGCGCGCTATCTCCCGGCAGCGAACGCCAGGTCGCGCGGGGCTGTCGCGGTCGCGCCGGTTTGCCTCCTGGCCCGGTTCGGCCGGTTCTTCGAGGCTCGTTGATCCTTGTGATCTCCCGGTCATCAATCCACGATCACAACACGAAAAATATAATTTACAAAATACATAATCCTATCCTAGATCCAACAAATGGATGTCCATGTATTTCTAAACAAATAATTAAATCTATCCGGTCAACTCCCGGGCGAATAATTATTACAAATATTCATCTATAAAATTCCTCGACATGTCCGAGGCTTTAAAAACATAATTAAAACCATACATCACATTCATCAACATTCATCAAACACATAATCGGCCACAATAGTGGATAAAACTAATTCGTGGAAAATCGAGTTATGCGAAAATAGTCCAATATATGGCTGAGTTTGAACACATCTTGACAAATAAAGCCGTACAATTTTGAACTTGTACAAAATGAATTAAACCAAGTGCTCTGATACCACTTGTTGGAATCTATGAGAATCTCTGTAACGCCTCGTTTTATTTTAAAGAGTTTACCGAATTTATTTATAAAAATCAGAGTAAATTTTTCGCAAAGTTCCAATTTAAAACTTGAACTTAAACGTGCGCTACTTAACTACTAACAAAAAATAACAATTAAGACCAACTACAAGAACCTACACATGCATCTCTAACAACATAATTATCAAACCAAGTTATAATAAGTTTTCAAAACCAAAATCGAGAGATTTCTACATGATCCCATCAACATGTTCAAAAAGTTTAAGCGGAAGCATCATAATCTGAAAATAACAATCCAATATAAATAAATAATGTGGAAGCAAAGACATGACGATCCAATGATCACCACTTGCTTGTCTCTCGCTGCCGCCGCCAACAATGCTCAACCTAATGACAGGAAGAGGAAACAAGAGGACAGAACAAACAATGGGGGTGAGCAAAACCACCATGCTCACCTATATCGCATAAGTCTGTCTCGCATAAAGATCCAAAACCATAAATAGAGTATGCATAGAATCCAGGTCTAACTCCCTATATGGCCCTATCGCAAACCTCCTATGTACATACAACAACCTTCCGATCAGGCATCAGCAAGGAGTAACCGGAAACATTCCCACCCTGGCTCGACGCGGGCTAAGGGATCCTTTCCAGGAGACAGTGGAGCTGTTTTTCCCCTTCCGGATACAACGACAAGGGGCGTCCCTCCCGGATACATCGTGCAGGCGACCTCTCACTGCTTATGCATTCATCAAAGGCACTAAAGGCGAGACGCCCCTGGCGGTGTAACACACTAGACTAGGGTTCTCAAGCATACTTAAGTTATCGAAACGAACATTTATACGAAATAACAAAGTACAATAATTATAGATACACAAATTGTACCCACCCGATCGAAAGCAAGAGATAACACAAAACACGTGTAGGTAGCGAGCTCGGCTCATCAAACGCCTACATATATTAAAATAGTCCTATGAATGACTATCCAACACATGAACAACTTATAGCAACATACATGGATTCCCCTCAGCACATCTAAGTCATATAGGCATGCATTTAACAAGTAAAACCCAATTTCAAAGGTACCACACGAGATTTCCAAAACTTAACCCACGCAGCGATTTTGAAATCAACACAACTTGCAGCACATATATCATATAATCATGATTCTAGTTGCATTTTAACCCTAAAACATGCCTCTACAATTCTTATGAAGACATCGAGAACAAAGATTGAGAATATGCAACTAATGAAAATATGCAACTAAAGATTGAGAATATGCAACTAAATCATCAAACATTCAGAACTGAGTAGCAGTCAAAAATTGAGAATATGCAACTGACCGGACATCAGTAAGTTCTAGATAACTGGAGCTACAAACATGCTTTTAATATGATTCAAAAACCAAATAGAAGATAACTCAAATATCTACAACTCTGCTGAAGATCATATTGGCAAATAATGACACTATCATTGAGTTTAAACACAAAATATTTGATTCATAAAATCTGCCAGAGACTAAATTTTGATATAAACAGCACCTCAGTATTTGTCATCTAACTCATGCTACAGACCTCTAAATGACATGATTTTTGAATGCTTAGAAAATCTAAGAACTAAGGCTACAATTTTTATATAGAAAACATGAGCAGATAAGG